CGCCGTACCGTCCATGTTTGACATCGAAATGTAAATAAAACGTAGATCAAAAATTAAAAAGTGACTTGACTAAGTTTTAACTTATTCAGCCTTTGAGAAGTAGGGGTGTCCAAAAAGCCCGCCGCCCAGAGCCCGGTCCGGAAATCCGGGCCAAACCCGGGTCCGGCCCGGGCCCAGGTCGGCGCAAAGTCATCCGGTTCGGAACCGGGCCCGGCCCGGAACAGTGCCGGGTCCGGCGTCAGGTCGGGCCGGGCTCGGCCCAGGCAACAACGGTCACCCTGGGTGACCGTTGATGAAAAAAACCGGGCCGGGTCGGGCCAGCGAACGGTGACAATTTGTGACCGTTGGCGGAAAAATAACCGGGCCAGGCCGGGCCGGGGCCAACGGTCACAATTTTGTGACCGTTGGCGGATATGGCCGGGCCGGGCCGGCCAAAACGGTCAAATAACTGTTTGACCGATTTGCCCCTTAAAACGGTAAAAAACGGCTAGAATATGAGAGTTTTTTGGTCATTTGCCTAGGGGGCTGCCTCTATAAATAGAGGGGGGTTTTCACTTCTTCTCCTCACATCAAAACTCTTCTACTTCTCTCTAATACTCTCTTATATGATATTATACTCTCTTATAATCTCTTATATTTTCTAATACTTCTATCAAATGGCTTCTGGATCTGATTATGAAGACCAACACCTATCTCCTACCGATCCAGAAATGAGTCCTCCTACAACAGCTACTACTCCTCCTACCGGTGTTAATCCTGAATCTGGTGGCGACAAATCTACTGCACCAAGAGCTCCTAAAAGACCGAGATCCGATGTGTGGAATTTTTTGAGAAGATATACGTCACCAAGGATGAACACGGTAGGATCATCTCCCAGAAGGCAAAATGTGCGTTGTGCGGCCAGGTTTTCCAAGCTCATCATAAGAGCGGCACCAACCATCTCAAACGCCATATAGAAAAACACAACAAAGGCCAGAATCTTCAAGATGATATCCGACAGTCTATGATTTCTCAATCCTCCTCTTCTGGTACCCTCGGTATTTGGAATTATAACGTTGCCCGAGTTAGGAAATGCGTAATTAGGTTTATTGTTCTTAAAAACCTACCTTTTAAATTTGTAGAATATGTTGAATTTGAATATTTGTTTAGAGATGGTTTTTATCCTGCATTTACAAAATTTTCTCGTCAAACCTGTCAACGTGATATTTTAAAATATTATCAGGAGGAACAATAAAAATAATTTCTTATTTTAAAATTTTAAACTGTAAATTTTCTTTAACTTCTGATATTTGGACATCTAGAGTACAAACTGGTTATTTATGTATCACAGCACACTGGATTGATAAAAATTGACAAATATTTAAAAGAGTTGTTTCTTTTATTACAATTGAAGAGTCACACACTGGTATTAATATTGCAAATTTAATAATTGAAAAACTTATGAAACTAGAAGTTGATCAAAGAATATTTTCTCTTTCACTAGATAATGCAAGTAATAACAATGTAGTTGTTGATTTTATTAAAACAACTTTGTCATTGCCATGTCATTGTGACCTTTTTCATGTTAGATGTATCTGCAATATTTTAAATTTAATTGTTCAAAGTGCATTTTCTGAAATAAAACCCATGATAGAAAATGTTAGAACAATTGCTAATATGCATAATGCTTCTGAAATGAGAATTAAAAGATGGAAACAATGTTGTAAAAAAAATTATAAGCCTAGACTAATTTCAAAAGATGTTGACCATAAGTGGAATTCCACATATGCAATGTTAAGTGTAGCAATAGAATATAAAGAAATTATAATGATTTTATAAATTTTTATGCTTCTAGTTCTAGCTCTGGTAGCACTTATGGAATAAGTGAAGATGAATGGACAATTATATGTAAATTAAATGAGATGTTACAAGTTTTTTATGATGCTACTATGTTATTATCTGGTTGTTATTATCTAACTATTACTTTAGGTGCTTTACAAATTTTAAATATTCAACATTTTTTTTCCAAATATCATATGGATGATATTTTTGAAAATATAATTTTTCATATGGAGAAAAAATTTAATAAGTATTTTAGGCCTATTCCTCATATTTTTGGTTTGGGAGTTCTTATTGATCCATGTTTGAAGGATATTGGTCTTCGAAGTTTGTTATAGTCATTGTATGGTGGACAGATTATAGACTTAGATGATGGTTCCACTCTTACTGCTACTTCTCATCATTTATCTATTAGAAATTATTTTTAAACATTATATGATGAGTATGCAACTAGACATGGTGTAGCTGCACAACAGTCTACAGCTTTAGCGCCTTCGGTTTCGAGCATAGGTCGAGATAAAAGTGTAAGTTTTGATAGGTATGCAATGATAGCTGAACTAACTGGTGGATCTGGAATTGGTTCAGGATTAGAGGTTTCTGAATTAGATGAATATTTTTCTGCTTTCTTAGTTAAATTTCAAGGAAATGCTTTAGATATTTTGTAATGGTGGAGAATATATGGATCAGTTTCATATCCTATACTTTCCACTATGGTTCGTGACTTACTATCAGTGCAGGTTTCAACGGTAGCTTCGGAATCCGCCTTCAGCACAACAAGACGTCTGATCGACGACCACAAGACATGCCCCTGATGGACGAAATGCTTCTAGTTCTAGCTTTGGTAGCACTTATGGAATGTGCTTACAAGATTGGTGGAGATACGAGAAGCGAACACAAGGCATCGATCGGATTGCTATAATTGAAGATAAATTTGAAGAGTTAGAACTAGCAGATAGATATAAAGATTAGATAATATTCATCAAATTATAATTTTTATTTCTTAGCTTTAAATTTGTAATGAATTATTTTGAAAAAAGTTACAAATAATAGTGATATGGGTGAGTAGGTGCCAACCTAGTTGGGATTTACCCATCTATTGTGATGCGATGAATTTCGAAATAAATTTATAATTGTAAAGGGTTTACTGATTATTAATAAAAAATTATTTTTATCATCTTTTATTTTTATAATTTTTTGTACTTGTAATTTTCCCGGCCCGGGTGGACACCCCTATTGAGAAGTGATTGCAGTGCAAATAAAAAATGGACACTATAACATGGAGCTTTCGACCCCCTTCACTTTCTCAGATTTTTTGAGAAATTAGATGAACATAGAAGTGGAGAAAAGAAACTAACATCATAGTTCTCTATTATCCACTTTCAACCAAAAAAATACATAAAACATAAGTGCTACTAGAGCAAACACCAAAGCTAACATAAGTGCTACCAGAGCCCGGCCCGCTCAGGCCCGAACCGGGTCCGGGCTTCGGCTTTGCCCGGCCCAGCCCGGGCCCGGTTTCCCGGTCCGGATAGACACCCCTATTGAGATGTGATTGCAGTGCAAATAAAAAATGGACACTATAACATGGAGCTTTCGACCCCCTTCACTTTCTCAGATTTTTTGAGAAATTAGATGAACATAGAAGTGGAGAAAAGAAACTAACATCATAGTTTCTCCATTATTCGTATACTGTACAAGCGGTAATGTGCTTACAAGATTGGTGGAGATACGAGAAGCGAACACAAGGCATCGATCAGATTGTTATAATTAAAGATAAATTTGAAGAGTTAGGACTAGCAGATAGATATAAAGATTAGATAATATTCATCAAATTATAATTTTTATTTCTTAGCTTTAAATTTGTAATGAATTATTTCGAAAAAAGTTACAAATAATAGTGATATGGGTGAGTAGGTACCAACCTAGTTGGGATTTACCCATCTATTGTGATGCGATGAATTTCGAAATAAATTTATAATTGTAAAGGATTTACTGATTATTAATAAAAAATTATTTTTATCATCTTTTATTTTTATAATTTTTTGTACTTGTAATTTATGTCATTTCAAGTTATTAAAAAAATTTATGTCATTTTCTGTAATTTTTATGTATATTTTATAATTTATTATTTTTTAAAAAATTAAAAAAATAAAAAATGTGAAAAAAACCGGGCCGGCCCGGAGCCCGGCCCGCTCAGGCCCGAACCGGGTCCGGGCTTCGGTTTTGCCCGACCCGGCCCGGGCCCGGTTTCCCGGCCCGGATGGACACCCCTATTGAGAAGTGATTGCAGTGCAAATAAAAAATGGACACTATAACATGGAGCTTTCGACCCCCTTCACTTTCTCAGATTTTTTTGAGAAATTAGATGAACATAGAAGTGGAGAAAAGAAACTAACATCATAGTTTCTTCATCCCCTTCTCCATTCTCCATTATCCACTTTCAACCAAGAAAATACATAAAACATAGCTCATTACTGGCCACCTCAATTTTTCATCTTTCCACTTTCTATCGTCCAAAAGCCATAAAACTAAGAAGCCCCCAAACAAAGATTAACAGCCACACAAGACGACCTGAAACAGTGACCTTTTCGGAGTAGTAAAGCTCATGCTCCAGAAAGGCTTATTGCACCCTGATCTGCTTTCTCAAACTAAAACATGAAGTTTATGGGTTACAACCGTGTAGATACATTGAAGAGGGAGTAGCAATGCCAGTAACCTCTACGGCACTAATAAGGAAAAGAGCATCGATACAAACAACTCTAGTACAACGAGACCTGTAATTTATTGTCGCTTAAACTTGTTTATATTTATGTCCAGAGATTTCTCGATTTATCTTCTGGTTTTGTCAAGAACCTCAATGTACCTCTTAGGAATACCATAATGTTCTATGAGATGTTTTGCAAGGTTGTCAATCACCCCACCTTGAACGAGGACCTCATGCTGTCCCTTTTTACCTGAAAAGAGTGAAGAGGAAGTATTAGACAGAAACAATTGGATTCCAAATCAGAACTTCAAAACTTTCAAGGTACAAGGGCCAAAACACACACGCCCCTCTTTCCTGATAAATGACTTGAATCAAAACTTCAAAACTTTCAATGTACAAGGACCAAAACACACGCGTGTGGCGCAAGCACACATCTTCTTCCTAATAAACAACTTGGTGGTGCAGCTTTGACATCGATTTGATCATGATAATTTGGCCAAATGTACTTCTATTTTTTTATTTTTTTTATTTGGATCGAGTTTTGACTCCTAACTGAAGAAATATTTGATTTGGTTTACTTGGAGTTTACTTAAAAGCTAGATTGATTTGATTTAAACAATTAGTTAGCCAATCTGCTTGTTTGCATTTACTAATTAGAAGCATTTTTGTAATGATCCTCACACCTGAATCAGACTAGTTTTAAATCATATAGTATGGCAGATTATGCTATTTGGCCTGCCAAGACAAAAAGGACAAAGCCTTAATTAAGAACAGGATTTACCAGGAAGTTCGGCCACTGATGTACTGCAAGCAAACTTCTTTTGAAGTTCAGAAGCTAATGATTCAGCATCCAATAGAAAAGTCTCCACCCCTGAGACTTTCGTCACCTTCTTATTTCCTTGACGCCGTTCAGTCATTATCTGGATAGGTTTCATTGCACCCTTGCGCACTGCAACATCGTTCCCTCTTGATACTCTGTGGTGGACTTGCATTCTGTTCAAAAATGTTGCACCTAAATCCTTTTTGTGAATCTCTGTTGGGTAACTTGAGCCCTTCTTTATGGCCCCTTTGTACAGAGCATCGCATAGAGTAGCATCAAGAACCACCATTGCCTTGTTCATCGGTTTGACTAGATTTTCTTTCTCAATGTATCTGCATGGTAACAAATAAATTAGATAAAAGAACCTTAGTTCCCGATATTTGTACTGTCATAAAGAAAGAGGTGGATAATAAGTGTCAATGATCTTTGCCATAAGACACACCTGAAAACAATATCAGCTGCCTCAGATGCAGTGTAATAGTGCCCAATGTCAGCCCCAACAGACATAAAAATGGGATTAACATGTGTACTTGGCTTGTAGATCTCAACCACTTCAAGCTGCAATTTTGATTGGCGAACGTCCGCCGCTGAAGGATCAAGTGTCTGATCCACATTCTCTGGTAACCGTTTCTCTGGTTTGAAAGATGTGTACTCTGGATGAACACGATTAACAGCCAGTAACACAACTTCCTTCTTATACTTGTCTTCCTTTACTGATATCTGGAATTAAGTTGAAGTGAAGATAAAATATCAGATTAAACAGAAAGCTTTTCCTCCATTCTGGCAGTAGTTTATTTTCACAAAAAAAGGGCTTACCAGCCCAGAAGAAGATTTCGACTGCAACCACTTTGAAAGCTTCTTGTGTGATGACTTCTTAATGTCCAAAGTGATGCCGGAAGGTCTGCATGGCAGTACATGGTTTGACCTGTGCATTACAAATATATAGAAGCAATCAATAACCAAGATAACTCCAAAGAAATAAGCAAATCTCAGGATGATTATAACAGAACTTGAGACACTAATTTATGCTACTCGTAGATAACTATTGAGCAACGTTCTATCTCATATCATAGGCAAAATTGGGACCGTGTGACCATTATAGTAGCTGTATAGGGCTAAATAGGCAAAACAAATAATCATATCGAAACTTGATAATGCGGGTATTCCCACACTCATAAGGTTTCAAATACGAGTTTCATCTTACAAAGACATGGAAATAGAATTTAGTTCAATATAATACTTAAGTAGGGTAAAGCCTTTTGAGACAAAGTGCTTCCAATTATAGTAGTTTAAGCCATCTCCTTTCTTGGACCTTTGAATCAATTTATGGTACCGGACACTGCGCCTTCTCAAGATTTATTAGTATGGATTAGAGCTCAAGATGGAGCGAAGACCTCTGATTTGCTTCAGTTATTCAGTACATGTTGAAATTTCCTCGGGTGCACATACTGTTGCATCCCCCACATGTGTAGCTTGGTTTGTCTGTAAAGTGCTAGTTGAGAGCTATCTCTATTAGGCATTAAGCTGGTGGTTTAGGCTGATTTATCGGATATGATGCATCCATTCAGTTTCAAGTGACAACAGAGTCTAGCAAGGGCATGAGATATGTGATTTACTCTTCACATTGAAAAAAAATGTTAAGACAGATAAACAGCTGAATATGTGGAATCATGACTCAGAGCAAGTCCTTTTTGGAGTCAACATAGTTTAAATAAATTAGCCACAACAAAACCTTGAATCAAGAATCCAACTTTGGATTTACTTATAATTTTCTTATAAATAGAAAACAGAAGAACATAAGCACCACCTTAAAGCCTGACCAGGTAAAAAGAAAAAGAAAAAGAAAAAAAAAATACAGCAATGAATCTTTTCTTCCCTTCTTTTAACCATCCACTTCTGATGCTAGAACGATGTGGGGATTCTTTCATGGTGAGGCTGGAAACTAAAGATTAAGTGCAACTTACGTGGCTGCCATTACATTAATAAAGACTAATTACCAAAATTATATTATATCAATATTCATCTTTTCAATTTCATATTCACTGGAAGTTCAGTCGACCACAAAAACCTTTTACAACCCTATTTGGATATGAAAGGAAGCAGACACAATTCTCCGTCTTATTAATCACTTGACCAGTAGGAAATTACTGATAGGAACAGTGCAAATGTTCAAGAAACTAAGTGCCTCTGCATATCATGTTCCCTATACCTAGCAACTTTCTTATCTGCCCCCCTGTTTCCAGTATAGTTTTCCTCCATAGCGACTTAAGAAAGCTTTATGGTGAACAAGAAAGAATTAGTATATGAGGAATGTTACTTGGGCAAAATTCAGATGAAAAAAAAGAGAATAATTGGCAGAAATGACAATGATACAGTAAATAAACACTTCATTATGATGTTGGTCATAGAATCAATAGGATTGTTAAAGTTCAGAAATGCTCTTGAGAAAATAATTTGTTGCTATCGAATGCACATAAGTTCAAGAAAATATAAGATGCAATCCAAGCAGCGGTTGCATATGAAAAATGGATAGCTAGAAAGATCCTCAGAATAAAGAAAATTGCGTAGATTGATGATTAGCAAATTGTTAATAAGCTCATAACAAGCAGGCATCAAATTTTGTTCTTTCGAAAATCTGAAGAATTTTGAAATATCAGAAGCGTACATGATAAAAGAGGTGGGTGATTACCATAATGTGCTTCCAGGCATTGGGAGATCTTTATCTTTGACAGTCGTGTGCAGTGCCTGCAAAAGGCATTTTTCCAAAAGAATATCTATTTCTTCATTGGATAATACATGTTGTTCCTTCTCAAGACTTGGTTCTTCGGCAGAAATATGCTCTGATACTTTTAAACCACTCAAATCAGAAGTAAGTTCTTCAGAGACTTCATTTCTGGCTACATCTTTTGGTGCATCAATTTCTATTTGTCCTCCGGTATCTGGACCAACATCAGATTCTTCCACTTCATTAGTAAGATCCTCATGTCGGTTACCTGAAGCACCCTCTGATGCATCAGAAATTTGAGAAGCTGAAGCTATTTCAGGATCTTCAATTACAACATCTTCTAAAAATCCTTCATTTGGAACATAATGTCCTCCAACAGATTCCCTACAAGCACAAATGTATAATAAGATAATATGACGTTGCTCAAAAACTTCAAACTATGCTTTGACTCCGTCTGCCATTATACTTGCCACAATGAGTCACGATAATAATGGGCTATCCGCAAAGCTTTGCCACGAAGACCAGCTTTCAGGGCTTCTCCGCTGCTCATTGTGGTCGTTCCCACCTACAAAAATTGTCAATCCTACGTTAAATCATAATCCCCAGATACACTAGAAGGGTGGAGCATCTTTGAGTGAATTTAAAGCAGCTTTCTTTGATGAAATTCTAGATGATTACAGAAAAAAAATGCTTACCGCAATTGGTGCTGGATTGCCTGGGACTTTCACTGACCATGGCTGACCAGCTAAGAAAGATGGTAGTCCTTCTGAAGCTATCCTAATGCCAGGAAACATCAAATCGGCACCTCCGATAATAAAATGAGATACCTCACCTCCCTTGAGCAGAAAAGCAGGTAATAAATCAGGAACCTTCCATAGCGCAAAAACTGCAAGGCCAAGATTATAAATCTTCAGGAAATACACATAAGAAATGCCTACAGAATCAACTTCGCTTTGCTGAGGAGATGGTTATGCATACTGCACAGTCTACACTTTGATTATTGACAGTACCAAGCAAATGATTATTGTACTTGATTTCATTCTTCTCATACAGTTTCCACAGCATAGCAGCAATTATCAAGAAGCTCAAACCCCAATATGTTGATCACAGGAGTTAAAACCATAACATGCCAAATTCTATATGCAGAACATAGCAGCAGGGAGCAAATGTGGCTTGAAAAGACAACCATGACAAAAAAAAAGCATGCTCATGACACAAAGAACTAGAAGACAAAACATGCTAACAAAAACAGGAAATAATCAAATGAGAAAAGAGGCAATGCAAAGCCCTGCTATAATATAAGCATGCATACGACACAAAGCAATAAGATGCTGGACCTGTAGGAAAAATCTGTGTGCCTCTCCCATCAACATCGAAGATCATTGGAAACTCTCCTTCTATGCTATATACATAAACACGATTTGGGTACTTTGCTAATGTTATCTCTGCCTGCAGTTGTAAAAAAATCACAGATTGAAATAAACAGCACTAAGGTAAACATCACATAGCTTCATCTATAAGAATAATTATTTAGAAGCAAACAGCTAATCAACGCATCTAAGAGAGCATCAATCACAATTTTAACGATGCAGAAAGGTTAATAGGCTACTTAAAGCTTAGTGTTAAGACATTACAACAGGAAGGTAATAAAACAGTTATTCTCCAGACAGACAAGAGAAGAAACATTTTAAAGGATATGCTTCATATTGTCATTCATGTATCCTGAGTGTAGGACATAAAAGAGAGACTAACGAGACATTAAGTCAACAGCACTATGTGCAAAAAATAAAATAAAATAAATCACAGTTATTGAAGATGTATCCATCAAAAGATGGCATTCAACAGCAAAAACAAATTTAAGGATATTACTTAAGCTATGTGTTGAGACAGGTTTAATGGACACTTCAAAAATGACAAAATACCATGTCAAATATGTGTATTGAACACAACACTGCCTTTGTGTATTGTTACTATTTGTTGTATGACGATACATGCTCCGTTTGTATTTGTGTGACCCTGTAGACATTAAAAAAATGCCGAACTTCAAAACATGATGAAGGTCATCATAGGGACGAACCTCGCCGCCCAACGAGGATACTGATTAGGGACAAAGTTCGGAGTTCGTCGTTGGATACGAGGTTCGAAGCTGATCATTGGAAACGAGGTTCGGAGTTCGTCGTTGGATACGAGGTTCGAAGCTGATCATTGGACACGAGGTTCGGAGTTCGTCGTTGGAAACGAGGTTCGGAGTTCATCGTTGGATACGAGGTTCGAAGTTGGTCATTGGAAACAAGGTTCGGATTTCGTCGTTGGATACGAGGTTCGATGTTGATCATTGGAAACGAGGTTCGGATTTCGTTGTTGGATACGAGGTTCGAAGCTTATCATCAGACTTAAAAGCTCATTAGTGAAGATGAGGCTCACTACGCAGTTAAACTCAGCTATCTAAAGACGAAGTTCGTTGATGAATACGAAGCTCGTCAAACGATGTCAGTAAAGACAGCCGTAATACTACAAAGTTGACCTTAGAAGACGAGTCTCGTTGCATATTGAGGCTTGTTCAATCTGATGAACCTTGCCATACAGTGAGGCTCGTTGTTCGCAAAAAATCTAGCTATAACGGTTTGAAGACCTAGTCAGTCACATGCGCTAAGCTTCAGGAGCACGTTTCGGCCCATTAACTAACGTGGGCTGAATTGGAGGAGGTAGTTACGCCCTCTACCCACAATTCTAGCACGTCAGTTACGTGCTACGAATTCTATAAATAGCCATGAGTAGCTATGAAGAAAGGACTTTTTTTGGGGACTTTGGGAAGATTTTTGGTGATCGTGTGAAGAGAGATTTGTGTTCGTATTCTCATGATCTAAGCCACCATCAGAAGCTCCAGCAATCTTGATCTGATCGTCAACGGGAGGTAATCTTGACTCAAGCATCGAGGGAAGCATCCTTTCGTCACCAAGAACCCACGTTAAACAAGGAGGAGCTGAATTAATCTTTTCTTCATCTGTAATCGAGAGAGAGAGAGAGTGATTGTAGGATTTCGTACCAAGCGATCGAACCTAGTTTTCTTAAAACAAGAAATTCAATCAACTTCAATTTTTCAACCCTACAGACCCTCGTCCGGGTAAAACAAGTGTTAATCATGCTAACCATGAAGATGGAAAAGGTTCTTTCATATTTCTAAGCGGTGTCATGAAGCCTGAAGCTGTCATGGATATAAAAGTCACTGAGACAAACAACCCCGTTAACACCTATTTTTTTACTGTTACAGTTATCATGGCCTTTGCATATCCGATGTATAAATATACGCAGCCTCTAACCGCAACATTAAGTCCTTCAGTTTATCAAAAACAAATGCTTGGTTTTGAGCCTCTGAATATTTCCAAGAAATTTACTACTCCAGAATGGTAGTTACCTCCGCCTCTTGAGAACAGTTCCTGTTTTCATCAACCTATCCAGAAATGACCTGACTTTCCAACCCATTACCAAGTAAATTGAGATAGTGAAAAAAAAGACTAAATAGTTTCAACAGTATGTACCACCAAATGAGAAAGGTAGAAATAAGGTGCTACAAAAATATAAAGATGGCATCTACCAAAAGCACAATCCAAAAGGGTCAAGAGAAATCTTATTGCAGAAAGATCCCTCTTCATCATATGGCCGTTTTTCAGCTGTTTAAGCCAATATCATTCAATATATTTTAAAATATATGTTCAACAATCAAACATAAGTACCAAAATTATACTTTAAAGAAGTAAAAGACAGGATTTACCAACTATCATGTTATTATAACATAAGCATAAGAATTTCCCAAGTCATTGGCTTGTTTCCAATGCAAGCAACTAGAAACTTATAGGAGTCAGGGAAAATAACCCTAATCGGCTAAATTAATAATTTTATGGTGACTGTAAATAGCAAGATGGAATTTTATGTTATACTTCACCTTTTTGTTCTATATCAAAATCCAATATTTGGCTTGAGAAATCTCCAACTTGAAAAGTTGTCCCAAAAAAATTTGTATCTTATGTCCTAATAAATTTATTGCCTTTTATTCATACATTTTCTAATTGAATTCAAACCATTATTTCCTTTTCAACAGTCATTTCATAATTGGAACCACATGCATTAAGTTCATCATGTACACTATGGCCTTCTGAAATCAAAAGTTGAAACTTCAGAGAAATCGAGAGCAAAGCAGAAGAAAATGAACAAATCCCTTAATACAAAGGTTCCATGCCAACTAGACAGCCATATGATATAATCATGCAGTGGTTAGTTACATAGAAGGTGAAGGAAAGAAAATGAACGGAATAGAAAATTGTAAAGGAAAACAGAAAGTTAAAAAGATGTAGCAAATTTGATTTTTTTCCTTTTGTGACCTATGACAATGGAAAAAAATGACATGAAGTACAGACAATTCGCCAAGAGAAGCTTAATACCAGCAAAAGACATTCAAATAAAATTTAAGAAGACCAAAAAAACCAATAAGGTTCGAGTAGGATAGAGCATAGCTTAATATGGTTCAAGTATTGGCAGTCCCACTTAAACTTCTATTGCTTATTCTAGATGACTTTTCAGGTCAACTAGGTTCCATTTATAAACATGCTAGAATATGGAATTACGTGGTTGTGTCTGATAGATTGGTTTATATGGTATTATATTTATTTTTGCCTTATGTACTTGGATGCTGGTTCGAAGTAAAGAAAAATCTTTATAACATGGTTATGCCTGCAAGACCCGCTAGATGACGATTAGTAACCTAACTCACGAGAGCAGTGATAACCAGAGGCACATGAAACCGCGAACCCTTTCTAACCTCAGCCAGAGTGCCTATACCCAACATCCAAATGACTGCACCACTATATTTCTCTGTAAATTTCTTATTTTTAGTAACTAATAATTTAAAACCTTCTCAACCAGAAAATGAAATGCACTGCAGGTTCTAACAAGCCACCGAATTTTTGGAAAACGAACTACTTTATATATCATAGCGGCACCTAGCACTCAAACTATACTGAATCTAATAAACTACAAATCTTAACAGTAAACAATCAAATTAATGCGGTCATCACCTAAACGAATTTCGTGTAAATTCCACATAACTACCACAAACATTTTGGACAGAGCTACTGCGTACTCTCGTCACTAGAGAAAACACACGAACTGTAAGAATTAGAAAAAAAAGACCACGAACTACTGGAAGTTGTTGTTATTGCCAACTGCATGAACGTCTGGGATAAAAGGTTTAAAGTAATTTATTTACATTTTCAACCCACTAATATTGCACACCACACCCCAAAGTTAATGGTAGCATTACTAAATTTTATATGCATATCAAGAATTGATAAACTACTGATACTGAACAACAAATGACGCAAAGCCCTCAAAAAAATTCACCTTTGGTGGAAGAATGACGTCAATGTCAGCATCCGATGCATTCGAAAACCTCTCCTTCGCGATTCTCCTCAGCTTTTTCTTATCTGCTCCTGATAATCTCTGCAGAGATTTCGCCTCCGCTGATTTCTTAAACATGATCAACAGCTGCAAGCATGAATCATAATCGCAAGCATAATTTCAGGAAAAATCACCGAAAATTCTCAATAAAGAAGTTTTAATTTGATTGATTTAAAATTAGGGCGAGCTTACAGAGAGTTGAAGATATTGGTGGCGGATGAGGCTCGGTCTCGGTCGAAGATTCTGGAAGTGAGATTCCGGCGGTGGACGGGCGCGTTTATAGTTGTACCCTCGGTGAGGCCGGTTCGGATCTTGAGCGAGAGAAACCCGACCCGGAGCCGACTATTGGGTTTGGGTTTTGAGTTTGCAGTTAGATTTGGGGGTGAATTTCATATAAACCCCTAATATTTGGAAGATTTGCAGATTGGCCCCATAATAAACTTTATAAATGCCGATTTTCTTTCCCCAGCATGCTCTCCAACTGCGTAAGCCTCTTCTTTTCAACATAATTCCCTAACTTTTAGTAATATTTAAGAAAAAAAATCTCAACTTATTTTCAAAAAAGCTGTTAAGTGACATTTATAGTGTTTTTATGGGGGATATCTCAAATTTGATCAAATTTCAAGCCGGTCACACCATTTTTGCCTCGGAATTAATGTTAAGGCTGTTTGGTTTGTTGGAGATGTAAAAGTACAGTAAATTTTACAGGCAAAAACTGTTATACTTGTTACTCAAGATTAATCTCCAAAGCATTATTTGGATAATTGTATTTTAACTGTAGGGATTGTAATTTTAAATCAAAATGCAATGTTTGATTAGCTGCAAAGTATTAGATTTACATTTTTGTTTTACAGAAAAATAATTCTAATTGAAAATCACATGTTTGATTATTAGCAATTATTTATATATATTTTCTTATTTGTATCACCTAATTTGAAAACATAGAATTAATATTTATTTTTTTAAATATTAAGTTTCTAATTACTAAAGAGAGTTTGAACATTTTGTTACACCTAATATTGCAGTGAATCTAATTATCACTCTCAATTCTGCACCTGCTAATGAAAAAATTAAAACATAAATTTAACTATGACATTTATTTTTACAGCTTCATTCCTTACAAACGAAGTATTCGTTAATAATATAATTATTGAACTAAAAAAAATAATTTTCAACAAATTATTACATTTTCATTGAAATTGTTACCTTAGGCGGTATAATAAATACAAAGTTTTCCCCCATGCTTTTCAAAGATTGAATATAGTTTTCATTATAAGTTTTTATCATAAAAAATAATTAACTAATAAATCCATTGTTTTTAATTAATTATATATTTTTCATAAATTTCCTATCTAATGTATTTTAATCACATGGTAATTAACCCTAACAAAAAATCTGATAACATTTAGGAAAAATTGCTTCAAGGCCCTAAAATTCAAGTTTCAATATGCCCCAACCCCCCAACTTCCTCCAATGTGCTGCTGCCCCTATAATTTGAAAAAAATGTGTCCAAGCCCCGCTCCCCAAGTTCCAATGCAACCCCTGTAAACCTAATTCTTAATTTAAGCAAATCAAACTAAACTTAATTTTGATTTGATCATCATAATACCAAGATCTAGAACAATATGATTTTCTCAAAGAATAATTTAATTACGAGAGCGTGCCTTGATCCATGATTGCAGGAAGAACAACGTTGAAGACTTGAGTTTTCTCTCTCTTAGCCCTCTTGAATTTTTCCGAATTCTTTTCTTGATTGAGAGAAAAAAAATTTCACGTTATGGGTAGAGAGAGGACCAAGTCTTAAATAGAACAATTATCATCAACATGAGCGGTTATTTGACAATCTTATCTCCAACTAAACTGATCAATAGGAATTTAGTTATTAATATTATTAAACCGTGATTATCCTTTAACTAAACAAAACGTGGTTTAAAAACTGTTACCACTAAAAAAGTGATTTTGAAAAAACGTGTCTACAAGAGTAACTTTAAAAAGTGATTAAAGTTAAAACGTGGATGCGTGGGCCACAAAATCTAACATTCTTCCACTTGGTCCATGTATCATAATTTGACTTTATGGTTTAATACTACAACATCATATGCATAGTATAAGCTCATTCCATCATTATATTGATCAAATCATCAATCATCATTAAGTAAAAAACTAATAAGGATCATGGTGGTCATATGCAGTTAAATCGACATAGTCCCTTCCATGTATCACAATATTGGTTTTAAACTTAACATGACATGTAATGAGATTTATCATAATGGTCCAACGATAATGTCCTTGTCAGAGACATACCCTGTTAATATTCATAAAGTAATTCATGTATATACTAACAATAATAAACATGATGCATTAATATATCAGAAACAATATTTAGATGAGCTCAAAGTGTCAAATATATAAAGAGCATGAACTTTACATAAAGTTAGTAATGGTTTTCAATAATGTCCATTTTTTCAACATGTTCAATAAATGTCTTTGGTGACAATCCTTTTGTTAACGGATCCGCAACCATGAGATTTGTGCTAATATGCTCAATCAACACTCTTTTTTTGAACTTCGTCTTTAATGGTAAAGTATTTTAATTCTATATGTTTAGCACCCTTCGAATACTTGTCATTTTTAGAAAAGAAGACTGTTGCAGCATTATCACAATAAAGTTTTAGCGACTTCACAATACTGTTAACAACTCCAAGTCCTGAAATAAAATTTCGCAGCTATAATCCATGAACAGTGGCCTCAAAGCATGCCACGAACTCAGCCTCCATAGTCGATGTAGCAATGAAACTGCACAAGGAAGCTTTCACTCACTTACATTCCCATAGATCTCAATCTTGCTACTGTGTTTGTCATTTCAGTGACATGCTCATGCATGGTACGAGAACCATCGAACTTCATGGTGGTCAACG